AATGAATATTGATATTAAGAGATAAACTACATATTTAATATAATGAGGGGTAAAGTAGGAAACAAGGTTTATTCTAATATTTTTTAATTAAAAAATGTACATAAAGAATCTTTTCAAAATATTCCTTAATAGTGTTAATGGTTTGGATTAAAATGTATGTTATGAAAATAGAAAAGAGGTCCATGTAATTAAGACAAAACAGAAGGATAGTTAGAGTATTTTACTCAAAATTTAAAACTGTGTTTTAGATTATCCCCTTATCTCATAATTACATATTCCCTGCTTGGTAATGGTGAGTTATTAGTCCGTGTTTGTTTTATAATTGTTAACCGTCAATGGTTGTTTTTAAAATAACTAAATATATGTTAATGTTTTATAAGTTGTCAATTATGTTAAATTATGCACGGTCACTATTAGGGGATAAGTAGCCCCACGTTGCCCGCACGACTCACCCACTACCCATCATTTTTTTTAACCCATTTAAGCCCGCCCATCAATAGCCCGAAATAGAGAAGCTTAAATGGGTTGGGTTGGGTTGGGTTGGGGTGGTTTATCGGGAGGTAGCGGGCGTTTATTGCTTTACATCATATGCTCACATCATATTATTATGGAATTAGTGTTCGATTGAAGTCAGTAATAGAAAACACAAAAAGAAAAAAACAATATCAATAATGGCTTTCATCTAGACTATATTTACCTTAATCTAAATCATGACATGATCAATCAATTGGTAAGAAGCTTAAATTAATATTGTGCCTGTTTGGGATAATGGTAGAAATTCCCTATAAGCATGTTTCACGTAATCTAAGACAACACTCTTCTCACATATTTGTCTCTTATTCTGTAAATCACTATTAAAAAGCTACTTATAAGCTCTTCAAAACGGTCCTATTATTTATGTCTTCGATTTCATTTTCCTTCTAACATTATTCATATAATCTATGCATTTGTTTTATTATATTCAAATAGCTCTAGTCTCTACGATAGTACAAAAGAATAATAAGGAGGCTAATGCCCCGTTTGGTATGATGGAATTGGGGATCATGGAAATGGAATTGAAGGTGGAATTCAAATTTTAGCCTGTTTGGTATGATAGATTTTAATTCCACATGGAGCCCAATTCCACCAAAAAGCCCAAAATTGGCTTCCACCACTTGACCCAATTCCATAGAATTTAGATTTTTGACATTTCTGCCGTTCATATTTTTTCAGTCGCCCTTCGACTCTAATCCCAACAGCAATCTTGACCTCCATTATCACTAGACAGATTAGAAAACAAGGGTGCTATGATTGTGGATGTGGGTCTTCAATCTTCATATTCGCCAGTGATGGTGTAAGCAAACGATCGCACCACCTCCACCATTCTCTATTGTGCGTCAGCATTGAAGTCACAAAAATCTCAAAATGAAACTACATTATCTTCGGAAGCCGAATTCATTGTCGACTCACCCATTGTTGGCAGCAAACCACTTTCTTCTTCCAGATCAGGCTTCCATCGATCCTTCTTGTCCAATATTGCTCCCTTTTTTCTCTTCCTCCAAAATACTTGGATAGATTCATTAGAGGCTTCTACATCTGCCTTTCATTTTTCTAGTCGGGATAGATGGCAATTTCAGGCTTGTTTGTAGAAATGATTCTTTTGGGTTCCTTCCCATACTTTGATTTTTTAGCCCTCATTCTCCATAAAATCTAGCTTAGTGGATGATTTTTGTTGAGTGACAACCACCGGTGATGAGCAATGGTTGAAGTTCTTGAAATATTTGGCTATGGGTTGGCTAGATCTTCATAGATGTGAAATCTTGCTGAAAAATTTAGTTGTGCAAGTTGAGTGAAGTTGTGAAAAAGACAAAGGATTAGGATTTTTTTATTTAATTTAAGAGGGTATTTTGGTCTTTCTATGTAAAAATTAGATTTTGTTTCCCCACCATACCAAACATACTTTTAAACCTCATTTCTATTTTTGTATCCATCTTCATCTCCATTTCTATTTTTATTTCCATTTCTATTGAATTCAATTCCAATGTACCAAACAAGCCTTAAGAGTAGAATGTAAGCAGAACAAAGAATCCAAAAAAAAAAAAAAGATGAAGATAATAAACAATTCATAAATTTAGTCCAAAGTGTAGCTTATCCTTTACATTAGCCAAACCCTTTGTCGAGGAAAATATAGTTTTAGGCAAAAAGGTATTATGCTAAAAATATGTATGCACGTGGTAGGCACGTGGCAAGCATATATTACGGTGTGTTTTTGATATTGTTTGGTTTAATTCCCCTTCTTGTTCCATATCAATGACAACAAAAAGGTAGGAAAATTTGTTTGTTTTTTTCAACTAATTGAAATTCTGAATTTCCCAAGACTCAAGCTTAGAGTTTTCAATATTAGGAGTGGCTTTTTTTTTTTTTACCAAAATACGATAAACAGTAAAATTATATACCAGTATACTGCACTTTTAAAAGTATTTACTTAAAATCGTTCTTGACAAGAAGACTTTCAGAAGTTTGAAAGTATTTACTTAAGATTTTTGAAATCGTTCATGCCAAGAACGATTTCACTTTCTCTCTCTGCCAATTTTGCACGACTTGTTTGATCTCCGCTGCCTTTCCTGTTCGTTGCCCTCCACTGCCACAAAATACCAACGTTTTGCCTCAATATGGAGAGATTAGGCCAGTGAATTGAATGGATCAGAAAAAGCAAAGTTCGCAAGAGAGAGAAAAAAATAAGCAACCTGGATTTTTTTTTTCACTAGTGGATGTTTAACGCCATTAGCAAAAAAGTAAAAAATTATTCAACACTTACTAATTTTATTTTATTCAGCTCACTATATTTAATAAAAATTAAGGATTGAATATAAACTACTATCTCTAGTCTTTAGTATAAGACACAGTTAACTAATTTAGAGCGATTAAATAAGTTACTAAATTATTTTAAAGTATTTATATTTATCATTTTTATCCAAACTAATTTGTCCCACTTATAAATTGATATATAATTTAATAATTCACATAAGTATTAGAGAGATCATGTAACATATATATTAAAATGAGGTAACTTAGTAATTTTTTTAATCTCTCCAAATTAGCCAATTAATCAACTGGATTTTATATTAAGGACTAGAAAATAATATATTTTTATGGTATGTTTTAATTTATAAGACAATTCTCATCATTCAATATTTGTTATCTAATTCATGATAATTAAATACACTCAATTTTTAGGTTCTGTATGATGCAAAAGAAACAAGTAGAAGAAATAAAATTTAAGAATTTTAATGAAATAAAATTAGTAAGTATTAAATAATTTTTATTTACTTCCTAATGATATTAAACACCCACCAGTGGAGAAAAAAAATCCAGGCCGGCTATTTTCTCTTTCTCTCTCTCTCATCCTTTGTTCATTAATATAAAATTCATAAATTAAAACGTAAACCATACAAATATATTATTTTCTGGTCCTTAATATAAAATCCAGATGATTAATTGGCTAATTTAGAGAGATTAGAAAAGTTACTAAATTACCTTATTATAATATATATCTTACATGATCTCTCTAATACTTATGTGAATCATTAAATTATATATCAATTTATAAGTGAGACAAATTAATTTGGATAAAAATGATAAATATAAATATTTTAAAATAATTTAGTAACTTATTTAATCGTTCTAAATTAGTTAACTGTGTCTTGTACTAAAGATTAGAGGTAGTATTTTATATTCAATCCTTAATTTTTATTAAATATAGTGAGCTGAATAAAATAAAATTAGTAAGTGTTGAATAATTTTTTATTTATTTGCTAATGGCATTAAACATCCATTAGTGAAAAAAAAAATCCAGGTTGCTTTTTTTCCCCCTCTCTCTGCGAACTTTGCTTCTTCTTATCCATTCAATTCCCTCGCCTAATCTCTCCATATTGAGGCAAAATGTTGGTATTTTGTGGCAGTGGAGGGCAGCGAATGGGAAAGGCAACGGAGATCAAATAAGTCGTGCAAAATTGACAGAGAGAGAAAGTGAAATCGTTCTTGGCGTGAACAATTTTTGAAATCATTTACGCCAAGAACGACTTGTATGTAATTTGAAAGGCAAGAACGATTTTAAATACAGCATATTGGTAAATACTTTCAAAAGTACAGCATATTGATATATAGTTCACTGTTTATCGTATTTTGGTAAAAAAACCTATTAGGAGTTACCATAAATCTTAGCTATTACTTTTTCAATTCTAAATATAAAATTAATTTTATAGTGTAAATTACATTACAAAATATATCCCACTCATTTAAGGGCATCTCGTTTATAATTGGTCTAAATGGGTTCTGTACAGGTATGAGTTACGCCGTACTCATCTAACCTTAAATGAGCTCAGGCTGCCCAACCCTTTCATTGCATAGCCCTAGTCATATGTACCAAATAGATAATGTTTTTTTTTTTAAAGGCAAAATAGACACTTTTAAAATCAATTATTCTTAAAGGGTATGTTGGCACTTTCATGCACATGACAACATCTAGGAGTCGGAACTAAACTCGAATCCCATGAGGCGAGAAGGCACAAAAATTGACTCGACCTGATCTTTATCTAGCCGATGATTAACATTTTCACCAAGTAATAAAAAAAATAAAATAAAATATGGAATTAAAAAGGGGTAAGTCCCCCTAATATTTGAGTCTTTTTTTTTTTTTTATATTGTCAACTCTCCTAATCAAGTCAAGTCGAGTCAGTTTTTGTGAGTTTTTTTTTTTTTTGCAAGAGGCAAAAAAAAGAAAAGAAAAAGGAAACGAAAAGAACTTGAAAACCGAGTAATCCCAAATTAGAAAATTTTTATAAAAATATGCTGTTGTTGGTAGGTTAAAATACAGTCTAAACAAAGTATAGGAAACAGATTTAGAATTTAATAATTTTTAAGGTTTTTTTTTTTTCCCTTCCTTCGTTCTCCCAGGAAAAGAGTCAGGAAGGGGAGGAGAGGGGAGGGAGAAATGAATTTGATCCGTCACGGTCTAACGCTTGCGCAAGCGTTGATGATATTATCATATTGTGATTTTCTGAAAGCAGTTAAATCAAAACGAAAAGACTCAAATTTTTTAAAATCAACCACAACCAATAAATAGAAATTAATCATTTAGATCCCGGCGGCGAGACCTTTGACGAAGAAGAATCGTTGACGCTGATTGGTTAGTTGAAACTTCGTGAAACTTGTTTTATATAGTTGGTTGAGTTTCTCTGAAGCCGATAATTTCAAATCCCAGAAAGCCCCAATAAGACAGACATTTTAATTTACTTACCACATGGGCATTACCTACAAGCGACGTTGAGTTCAAGCTTCACATTGCTCCTTCTTCTTCCTTCGGAATCCATCCCAAACACTTCTGAGATTTTCAATATTTGATTATGGCTTCGTAGAGGGAGAATGGTTAGTGGGCATCTCTTGTGCCTGAAGCTGGTTTCAACGTTCATCGAGCTAGCTTATATTGGTTAGTTCAAAATCTGTTTAGAGTTTTATGAATTCTTCTTATCTTTAACCATAAAGGTTTCTTATGAATCTTTGACTCCTCTTTTTCTCTGTAAAATTTGACAACTACAACTTGCCTTCTTCAACTTCTTTTTGCTTCTATTTGTCGGTGCACCTGTTTTATATGTGACTCAGTTATTTAAGTATTCATTTAATTTGTTATTTGTGATATAATTGGGAAATTTTTTATCTCTTTACTAAAAAATTTGTATTGTCATATTCTGTGCTTGTCCCTTTAGATGATTTTGACGATTTTCTTCATTTTGCATAGTTCGTTCATTGAAAGCCAATCTGTTTGTTCTGGAGTAACTGGGAAGAAAACAGTAACTAGGGAGAAAACATTACATAGAAAAGTCTTGTCTGCAATTGGATGACTTTTATTGACGTGTTTGACATTGAATTGGGAATTGCTATATCTGCACACAATGCTCATTGCAATTCTTTTCTTTTCTGGCTTTTCGATATCTTCTCCATGTCCTTAACCATTTAGCTTGTGCTTATGACGAGTCCACTGCTTCCTCATTTTTGCATGGCTTGTATGTTCAAAGCCATAGTTGTTTAGGAGTAATTAATTATTCCAATTCCAACTGCTGTTGTCTTCATGAGGAGTTGTTATATACACATGGAGCAACGTTATCTGCTTCCTGTTGATTTCTGTGATGGTAAAGCAATCTGAAAAATTAAAAAAGGAAAAAATTTATTTTGCCTCGTTTCAGAGAAGTAACTGCTTCTACAAGGAAAAGAGTGATGGAGGATAAGGCAGGAGAAAAAAATGAATTACAGCATGCACCGTCTTCAGTTGTGGCTGTAGGTATCAAGGGTGGCAAGAAAAGTACAACTATATTACAGTGGGCACTTAAGAGGTTTGTGCCGGAAGGGAGGATCATGTTTAAGCTGATACATGTCCATGCCAGTATAAAACGAATACCAACACCAAGTAAATATATGTCCTTTTGTATTTCTTGTTCCTATTACGTTTAGGAATAGTCTAATGCTTTAGAAATTTACTATTTTTTTTAATTCCAAGCTCTTTGTGTCGTCCAGAAATAGAACTTCTAATTCAAGCAATTACTGCTGAAGTTACTCTTGTACTGAAGAAATTAGTAAAAGGAGGTTTGACCTATTGGTTAAGGTTTGAAGAATATTTTAATTAGCATTATTTTCTTCTCTTCCCTACTCAATGAACAGGATTATTTTTTTAACAGCATAATTAACTTTTCATATCCACAAAATCGTAAACTTTATAGAAAGGGTAGGACCTTTGTAAGCCTTGTATCTAATAATCTCCTTCAACCATTCCAATCTTAGGTGCATGGAAAGATGAGTAACTAATTAGCCTACCTACTCTACCATATTAATAATAATAGACAGTTTTCAGTATCTAAAGTGACCTCATGGACCATTTAGTACCATACAGTGTTTATGCATATTACTAAGAAAAGACATTAAAACAGTGACTACCTATTTCAACATGCTAACTGGAAATCTTTTTTGTTCCAGTGGGAAATTTCATCCCTATTTCACAAGTGCGTCCTGATGTAGTGAATGCCTTCAGAAAGGAAGTTGAGTGGCAGAAAAGTCAAATGCTTCTACCCTATAAAAATATGTGTGATCAGGAAAAGGTCAAATATTGCATCTCATGGAAATTTGAAATTTAGTTAGCATTAGTTCCATAAATTAGGATCTGCATCCTTCTATTGTGGTCGCAGGTATATGTAGATACAGTGGTGATAGAATCTGATGATGTTGCAGCTGCAATAGCAGAAGAAATTGCTAAGGGTGCCGTGACCAAACTTATTATTGGTGCATCATCTCGTAGCATATTTTCCAGGTATAGATACCTGACATTCTGATCTGTAATGCAATTATGTTGCTCTTTTAAGAATCTTTCTTACTGAATTCTTGATTAGTATGCTTTATTTTTCATTTAAATTTTGTTTGAACTGTTTTTCTTCCATTTTAAATTATTTCTTGCTTTCAGCAAGCTTAAGGGTATTGCTGCAAAAATATCAGTTTGTACTCCAAGATTTTGTACAGTTTATGCTATTTCCAAAGGAAAATTGTCTTCTGTACGGCCGTCAGATGTACAAATTGATCAGAGCTTTGCAGACGATGGTAGTGAAACCAATGGTTCTACCAGTTCTTCAAACTGCACTTCCTCCTCTCCCCCGGGTATCCTACTTGGAAAACCTGCGACATTTTATTTATATGTTTTGTTTAATTGATAACCTCCTAATTCTCTAACTTTCGGTATCCCGCCACAGAAAATAGGGGAGATATAGTAAAATCTGCATTTTCTATCATGTCTTTGTGGTAGTCATACGAATTCATATTGAGTGCAATGAAGGTGCTATGCTAGCATTCTTAGTTTTGATTATCTTGCCTTTTCTCTTGGAATCTTAACTGTGCACAGCATGATCATGATGAAGCATCTCCAACTGTATTCTCTTTTTGTTGAATAACATTATGTTCTTGTCACCCAAAAACAGTTCTAATCTTCTATGATTTTTGGGTTTGCAGACTCTGCCACAGTTGCTTTATATGGTCCTTTAAACTCCTCTTCAACAGAACAGCAATTTGAAGCTCTTTCCTCTGTTAATCAGACTGTCCTAAGTGCAAATCCTAGTTTTATTGAATCTAGCCATTGTGGATGTCAGTCCCTAGATACTGGAACAGAGAATAATGTTACAATTTCGTCTGCTAGAAATTATAGTATTGGCTATGGTCTTAGTCAGGCTTCAAGTTGCATAAGCTTTAAATCAGAAACAGAATCGCAGGTCCATGTTCAAAATTCCACCCTTGATGTGCTACCAGCAACTGAATCTCCTTCACCTGCTAGGCAGGTAATCAATTTTTCTTTTTTTGGTTCTACTTGATAGTGGTGGTTTACAATTTCTGCTCTAGTTGATGGTGTCTTCTGGAACTAGCCTTGTCATATGTAAAAGGAGTTTAATTAGATATGGAATATTTGTTGCAAAAAAATGCAGTCGATATCATATGACATTTTTTATGTGTACTTATGTTTCTTGCTATACTTTTTCTGCATCTTGATGCTCTAGAATATGTTGTGCCAAGGCCTGTTTTTGACCGATATGAAATCCTTCATGTATTTTTTTTTTTTTAAATTGTTTCAATGTTTGATCAGGAAAATATTAACCTTGAGCTGGAAAAGTTGAGGATTGAATTAAGACATGCACAAGGAATGCATGCAATAGCTCAAAATGAGAACATTGATGCATCACGGAAGGTAATATTAATTTCTTCTAGCCATAAATTCTTTGCTCCACTTTTTCTGCTATTTCAGTTACATAGTAAATACAGGGTTTTTCTAAAATTTTCCCTCCTCCTGCCAACCCCATAGCTTTACTGTATTAGACTAGGAAATGGGAGGGGTGTTGCAAACACTTATCCAAGGAATAGAATCACTGGATTCTATGAATTGTTCTGTCTTGTATTTGCTATTCTACCATTTTGATGCAGTTTGATGGGAATATTAAATATTCTGCTATTTGGTTAGTTTATGAAGTCATTTCAGCCTGTAATTCAGGGTTCTATTGGGGAATTAGTGTTAATCTATAAGTACGTAAACAATTTCTGGGTGCATTTGTCTGGGTCTTTGGAGATCGTATGATATTTTATTTCTTATCATAAATTATGATTTCTTTACGGATTGTTTAGGCTGACCAAGAAATGAAAATCAAGTTCCTTCAATTGAAGAGGATAACTGAACTGATACTATCACTCATCAAATCAAATAAATTGGCAATTCAGATGAGGATGTGAAGCCTAAGGATGTGAAGCTCACTTTTGGCTTTCATATTGACATTGTTATATCTGAAGAGCTTGATAATCTGGAGTTGCCGCCGCTGATGTCTCTTTCCAAATCATCATTAGCACTTTCTTTTATCATCCTTCTCATTGCTGCCCCCTACCTATTTTTAATCATTGAGAAATTAGGGTTTAGTTGTGAGGCATCTTAAAACTTACTCGCCCTGCATTTATCCAGTGATAAAATTATTATTTTATTTCCTATCTTGAATTAGAACTTTTGAGGATTAAATGCTGTTGCTCAAGTTTGTCATGTTAGAAGAATAGATCTTCTCATCATGTGTTTTATTGTTTTCTTTTTCTTACTATGATCTCATCGTCACATAACACCCATTAATGGCATTTGTAGGGATAAATTTTCTCACCATATGCATGGAATTGATTTCTCTTTTCTACCATTGCCAAACACATTAACATCTTCCATTGGTTTTAGCAGCTGAATGATTTAAATAAGAGACGATCAGATGAATTAATGAAGCTCAATGAGATTATTGCTAAGGAAGAGTCGGCAAATGAATCATTAAGGCAAGAGAGAGAGAAATATGAAGCTGCAAAGAGAGAAACTGATTATTTGAAAGAATGTGCTGAGAGAGAAACTGCAGAAAGGAGAGAAATGGAGATGAAAGCTATTCGTGCTGCGCAAGAGAAAGAAAAACTAGAGTCTGCTCTTACTGGTTTGACCCCTCAGTACCATAAGTTTACATGGGACGAAATAGTGTCTGCTACCTCATCTTTCTCTGAAGATCTGAGAATCGGAATGGGAGCATATGGTACAGTGTACAAGTGTAACTTGCATCATACTGTTGTAGCTGTTAAAGTACTCCACTCTAAAGGGAGCCACAAAATCAAGCAATTCCAACGGGAGGTATGGAAGTTAATGAACAAAACCGTAGATATGCAAATTAGTTCTCTTAATATGAGTAAAAAGCATATCTACTTACATAATGTATTATACTGGAGATCTTTGTGAAATAGGCTACAGATTGCTGATTGTTTATTTTTACATTGTTGTTTTTAGATTGTTTTATTTTGTAAATAAAATGTTTATTTGTTGAAATCACAAAATTCAGATCAACATTGTTCACTTAGGAGGTTAACCCACTGATTCAATCAAATTAGTACACATGGTGAAGGCATGCCACAACCGACATTCACGGTTTTTGTTACTTGTACCATTCCGTTTCCAGAGTAGATCAGGCCTTGAATAAACTTTACTCATAATGAGTCCACCAACAAAAAAATAAAAATAAAAAATGATATTTGCAAATGAAAGAATAGAAATTCAGAAATATGTGACTCTGACGGATATTAAAAAGGGAAAATCCCAAAAAAGTGATAGCTGAATTTCAAAATTCCAAATCAGTATTAGTTACTACACTCATAAAGAAAATGACTACATTCAAAGAGCAAATGACAACACACTTTTGTAGTAATTCCTGATTTAGAATTTTGAAATTCAGTAGTCACTTTTTTGGGATTTTCCCTATTAAAAACTACTTTCCAGTACTTACATCTTCTGTTTGTTTGCAGCTCGAAATCTTGTCCAGAGTTCGTCATCCTAATTTGCTGCTCCTTCTTGGTGCATGTCCTGATGATGGATGCCTTGTATATGAATATATGGAGAATGGTAGCTTGGAGGACCGGTTACTCAAGAAAAATGGTACGGCCCCACTTCCTTGGTATGAGAGATACCGGATTGCATGGGAAGTAGCCTCAGCTCTTGCCTTTCTTCACAGCTCAAAGCCAACACCCATCATCCACCGTGATTTAAAACCAGCAAACATTTTGCTTGACAGTAACTTAATGAGCAAGATTGGTGATATTGGTCTTTCTACTGTGCTCAATTCGGATGGCTCCTCCACCATGCACAAGGACACAGAGCCTGTGGGGACCCTTTGCTATATTGATCCTGAGTATCAACGAACTGGGTTGTTATCTCCAAAATCCGATGTATATGCTTTTGGAATGGTGATCTTACAATTATTGACAGCAAAACCGGCTATAGCACTCACTCATGTGGTAGAAACAGCAGTTGATGATGGAAAGCTCACAGATATATTGGACCCGGAGGCAGGAAGTTGGCCACTTCAGGAGACAATGGACTTGGCTCGATTAGGCCTTAGCTGTACAGAACTCCGTCGTAGAGACAGACCCAATTTAGATCACGTGATTCCTGCACTGGAAAGATTGAAAGAAGCTGCTGACAAAGCCCAAAGTTCCAGTCTTAATGTTAAATCAAAACCTCCTAATCATTTTATTTGCCCAATACTCCAGGTAGTTAAAAAATTCAATACTGACAATATTTGACTATCTATGGTGCGATAAGAAAATACAGGTGACCTAACTATCTATTTGGCTCTTCCTACTGAATCCGAAATCCATCCAAACTAGTCCCTTCATTGGCAAATTATTAGATTTGCATATATATATATATGTATGTACGTATGTATGTATCTACTGCCATGGCACTTATGGCGTCATCAAGTTCCGACTAAACAAGCTTTGGCCGTGAGAAGGTCAAAACCCTTAGCTGATGTTAGCCAATGTTTATTTAGTTTGATTAGCATATATAACAATCCCACTTCACAAAATAAGTGCCATGTCACTAGATTGACTAGAGGGTCAATGTTTTACAGATGCACTAGATTGGGTGGACTTTGAAGCGTAAGGATTAAAGTGAGAATGAAAAGCTGCTAGAGACCACCATGAAAATAAGTCGGGTTTTGGCATTTTAGATTGTGCTCATGGTTTCCAACATTTTTTTTTTCTGCTTTCGTAAATTTTGTCCATTTGATTGGTTGGCTTGAAGTATAATTGATTTTCCATTATTTGAAGTTGTTTGAAATAACTGTTGTGTTTTGCATCACACAGGATGTGATGGATGATCCGTGTGTTGCTGCGGATGGATATACATATGATCGCAGAGCAATCGAAACATGGCTTCAAGAGAATGACAAATCACCAATGACTAATATGGAACTTCCTCATAAGAATATAATCCCTAATTACACACTTCTATCAGCAATTATGGGGTGGAAGTCTGGAGGAAAATGATATCGAATTCAACCATTACCAATGCGGATTTTGACATTAATTTCTAGTGTGGCTCAGATACTTAGTTGTGTGCGCGTGTGTGCTGAATGATGTTGTGTTATAAGCAGATATTGTGGTGTAGAGTCTTGAAGTGGTTGTCTTAGCTTAGCGAGGCAGATTTGGAAGTGTAAATAAAATGTCATTGTTCGATGTAGTTGCATTCTGGTTTTAAATTTTGGGAGAGAATCTCTATAGCACGGACTGAAAGATATTGTAGGTGGATACTACTCTTAGTCTTTGATATAAGACCTAATTGACTAATTTGAGTAGATTAAGAAAGTTTGTTAAGTTTGTTAGTTATAATAATTATGTATTGTCTTTCTTAAAATATTCTTATTAATAATGTGTATTACTTATAACTACCATTTAATGGAATCTCTAATATATGCACAACTATTATAAAGACTTTTAAAAAAATATATAAATATGAAAGACAAAATGGACAGGGGTTTTGAATTTAGGATTAAATTGAAAGTCAAAATGGATAAATTTCTTTTAATTGAAAAGTAGCTTTCAATATTATAGATAGTAGTGTTTAAATTTCTTTAAAAAAAAATTTTAAATATTTCTTACATTTTCATAACTTCAGGAAAACTTTTTACAAATCCAAATCCACATGTCCATAAAGTTTTCAAAAATTAATTACTCTACTATCAACTCTACTTGCCCACTTGGATGAGGTCATAGGTTCGAAGGATATGTTTATTTATGCGCGTGAGTTTAATTATACTATATAAAAAAAAATTCTCATAAATAGATAAAGAGATAGGAATTTATCAAATGAACCATACTTCTTCATAAACATCACGAGTCTGTTTATGAGAACATACTAGGTAAAGAAGATTTAAAGTAATATTTCTTCCCTTTTTTGTAACTTTGCAAGAAATTTTTATGAGTAAAGGTGCATCCGCATCTTAATCTTATTTCTTAGGTATATCTAATATCCTGATCTTTTATATGATGCATTCAACATTCTAATTTTCTTTTTCTAGTGCATCCAGCACCTTCATCTTATTTTTAGTGTATCTAGTACCCTTACAATTAGAGTGGTGGATACAACTAAAAAAATAAATCAAAGTGCTAGATGCGTCATCAAAATAAGAATAATGTGCTAGATAAATGCACCTAAAAAATAACATTTGAGTTATGGATGCACTATTATATTATCTTTACAAATTTGAATCAAGAAGATTTAAAGTGATATAACTGAAACTCTGTCACACCTTCATTTCTTACTTCATTATACATCAATTGGAACCATTATAACACATTTATCAAGGCTCAAGAGTGAGAAACTGCAAATTTGAAACCTTTTAATTCCACACAGTCCGTACACTATTCATAGGACTTTGAAAATTCATAACTAATTTTAGAAAAATTAAAATTTAGTGGTTCCAAGTTTTACTCGAAGCTTGCCATGAGTACTTTAGAAGAAAAATAATTCGGTCTCAATTCCATTCGAGATAGCATAAGAAAAATCGACAAAGTACACTGTTCATATGGTCAATTTTTGAATTTTTAGTATTTTAGTTCAATTTTGGATGGGCATAACTCCTTGCACAAAACTTCGATTTCAATGTTCTACCATTTAATTTAAAGCTAAGAATATGATCTATAAGTCTGCCAAGTTTCAGGTCTAGACTCAAAGAAATCCTTATTATTTTATGTATCCCAAGTTTGGTCATTTTTAGGAACGTTTTATCCCCTAATTAGGTCCAACCTTCCTTTTCTTTACCTTTTACCCATCCTTAACCTTTTGGGACTCATAATATACTTGCACATACATTCTAACATGCTTGGACATATTCATACATGTTTATCTCCATAAAGGAGCTAGTATCTAACAAATGCATAACATGTATAATATTACATAACATAATATATGTCCATTCATAAATACATTAAGCGTTTACATGCCTTTAGTCACCACTTCTTGGCTCTTGCCCTTACTTGATCCTCCTCCTAGGGTTAGTGTAAACATAGAGGGAATGAGATTTCAAAGAAATTCCAGTAGTAGATAATCATAATTATCATGTAATCACGCAAATATAATGTGACATGCTTTTGTGTACATAACTTTATTGTTCATGCATAGTGAAATACCATGGAAAGTAAGCTAGTTCATTGATATCGACATAGCATAATGCCAAAGCATGCTTAACATAAACATTGCAATCATAATTCAGTAGCATAACTTAGTCACATCATGGCATTCATAGCACATACACACATACACATAAATGTAAGCAAAAAAGCACTTTAATCATAATTCAATGCTACCTCTTGTGTATTTAGTGACTTGTCCTTTCTTTGGTTTAGGGTGTCTTCTTGATGATTTGGCACAATACCTAGCAAACCAACATTAATGCCAATCATTTACCAGCTATTCAAACACATTACATAATACTTGAACATTAAACCTCTTTTCCTTGGATTTTTGACCTAATTATTTCCCCTTTATTTCAATCAATTTCTTAGGTTATTCCTACGTGATTTTTTATGTAGAATCCAAATATCTAATTAGATTTTACAAAATCGCATTCCTTTCCCATGAACAAGATTGGTTGAATAGTATATAGTTTAGGGTTCAAAATTTCATTTTTGATTCTAATACTTCCAAACCCATTATGGCCGAATTATAGGGTTTAGTATTTCAAATTCTCATTTTTGATTCTAATGATTCTAAACACTTTTTTTTTGGTGTTTTCCTACACAAAAACACATTTTAAACTCATTAGAATCATCAAAACATATTGAAACAATTCTTAACCCTAAGAACATGACTTGGCCGAATTGGGTATCATAATTCCTAGCTTGATTTTCTTCCATAAATCAATCCAAACAACATCCAAACGTACCAATCCAAGCTTATAATCAAAATTCCTATCCTTCCCTACCATTTCCTCATGTTGGCCGAAAATTTCAACATAGTTTTCCCTTATGATTAGCATGATTTTACCATTCCAACTGCATAAAAATCAAGCTTACACATACCTTGATTAATCCTTGGTGGAAACTTGATAGCTTGGCCTTTGCTTGAAGTGGTTTGAAGGTGATTAGAGGTGAGTAGAAATTTTGGCAACACTTCCCTAAGGGTCTCCCTTCTTGGCTGAAATGTGAAGGGATGGAGGGGGTATTTATAGACCTCCAAAAGCTATTTAAGATTTACCTACACTCTGTTTCTTTCCTCTAAAGACGAAACTTTTAGTACATTCATTGTTTTTGCTAAAAAGATTCAAAATGATAAAGGTATTTCTATTGTACCAATCAAGACTGATCACGGAGAAGAATTTGAGAACAATAAATTTGCTGACTACTATGACGAGCACAGGATCGACCACAACTTCTCAATACCAAAAACACCTCAACAAAATAGAGTCATAGAAAGAAAGAATAGAGTACTCACGGAGATAGCCAGAGCGATGCTAAATGAAAAGGGAATTTCATAGGTATTCTGGGCAGAAGCCATAAGTACACATGCTACATCTCTGACCAAGCATATATCAGAACACTACTGGGGAAAACACCATACGAGCTGTACAAAGGAAGGAAACCGAATCTGGCTCATATAAAAGTCTTTGAAAGCAAATGCTACATCCACAACAATAACAAAGAAAATATTGGTAAATCCGATCCTAAAGTTGATGAAGGTTTATTTCTAGGTTACTCTAACTGTAGTAAAGCTGATAGGGTCTTGATAGAACCCAATCTTTATATGGTTTTCTCAAGTATTTTCTAATGTTTTGCAACAATTTTACCCTTATTATGCGTGCATTTATATCCATTTGATTACATTGAGTCATGCATTGCATTTTGCTGTTTAAGGGGTAAAAAGGGTCATTTTTCTCTTTTAAATTTTAATTACCTTGATATGTAATTAGTTGATTTTTACAAAGCCCTTTGTTGTGATTTTCAAGCAATTAGAGAAGGACCCAAGAATCATGATGGAGCATGGACATAGCCAAAATGTTACAAGGACCAAAACACAAAAGTTGGGAGTGTTCTGCCTTCCCAAGTCATGACATGGACTCCTTAGGTTGCGACTTGGATGCCTCTTAGTGAAATTACGTGTTTTGGACCTAAGTCAAGATGAGAGCTCTCTGTCTTCCCTAGTCACGACATGGAACTTATCAGGTCGCGACCTGACCCCCCTGAGTTGCGACCTTACATTCTTGGGGTCGCGACCTAAGTGCGTTAAGTGAAGTTGTGTGTTTTGGAATAGGTTTCTGAGCTTCTATACCTAAAGGGGGCAGCCACCACGAAAAGACACTCTTCCATTCTATAGATTTGCACGAGGTTGAGCCACCATCATTTCCTCTCAAGTCTCCATTGATCCTACACCCAAAACTTTCATTTTTCTTCATCTCTTCATCATTTTTTGTGTTACTGGACTGATCAAACCACTCCAACACCCTTCTTTATTTTTCCAACTTTATTTTTAGCTTTAACCATGGCTGTTCATTTCTGGAGCAATTACGATTGGTTTGAAGGCATGAGAGGCTGAACCCCTTATCCTCTTGGTGATGGAGAACGAAGCTTGAGCTCAATGATCTAATCAAGGAGTTTTTCTATAGTCTAAACCTTTGTTTAATGTTGTGTTGAATATTTCTAGATTTGGGAACTTTTTGCACTTGTATCAAACTTGGTTTATGATTGTAAATCTGGTGTTTAGACTATTCTATTGTATTTGGATTGGATGATGTTAATGTTGATTAATCTATATAATATTTTAGTTTGAATCCTTGTGTTCAGTTTGATTTTGAGTAATTATTGTGATTAATCTGCATGCTTGGTATAATGTGTTTGTCGATTGACATTCAGAGGACATTTGCATCATCTGTTCATCTACACTCTAAGTGGTTTTCAGCAGTGTCTTAAGAGATGTTAATTAACTTTGATTAAAGTTAGTTTTCATTAATTAAGACATTGGACCCAAGTGATTACTTGGGGTTTTCTTCAAACTCAAAGGTTTTCTAAAACTCCCAATCATTCTAAAGAGTAGTGATAGCTGAGTTTTCATCATTAAGAGACTGTTTGACCATAATTCCCTTTTAATCCAAAACATTTCTTCATTTATTTAAATAGTTAACTTTCTGCACTTTACATTTGTTGTACCACCTTTAAAACAACTAAAACCCCCCTTTTACCCACTCAAATTTACAATGTTTTTTAAAACTAATTTAGACTAGGATTTCCAATAACAAGCTCCTCGAGAAGAACGACTGGTTGCATCCTATACTGCATTTTATCTGGTGCAACTCTCTTTCTTGACGATTCGAAAGGCGACA